AGCACAATTGTTTGGTTGTGTCGATGGTCTGTTTGGGTCTTCTCTAAAAGTTGTGGAGCATAATGTCTTACATGTACATTTTGTACAAGCCCTCTAAGTTTTATGGAAGTGCATGTTTTATAGATCTTTAATGTGTATTATAGAGCTGCCAGTGAGCTCATTGAGACTTATTCGTACATGACTAAGGGCAGAATTATTGTCTCTTTCTCCAACAACATGGCTGCCCTCAGTAGTAGGCTCAAAACTTTTTATACACACACACACATTTTATTTAAAATATAGGCTACAATTTAGTCATGGCAAAAAGAACTTTTAACCTCTTGCTATTTGTCTGCTGGGCTGAGGAAAAATAGCTTTCTTTTAAAAGACCAACAAAAACCTTACACTGACCCCCTTAGAGCTAAAACTGCGACTTCCTTCTAATCTTGTTATTCAGTAACATGCAATTGTACTGCTCAGTAGCCATGGGCATCCTGTATCATAGGTAGGGGTAGGCAGAGTCTTCCTAAACCACCCGGCATGACCTGCCCACACTCTGCCCTCACAATGCCTGCTGTAGTTATTTTGGGTACAGAATGTTGCTGCCCTCAGCACCTGCCCTCCCTGCTGCTCCAGGCCAGGGAAGCTGGGGACGCGTGCCTCCCTCCCTGCCTGGTGCTCCGGAGGTTGGGGAAGTTCAGGCCAGCTCAGGCCAAGCAGCCTCTTCCCTCCCTGGTGCACAGGGTGCTTCGAGGAGGCTGGGGTGTGCGTACTCTTCCCTTTCCCGTGGTGGGAGGGAAGGTGCCCCTGCACTCGGCATGCTGCCCCGCCTCCTCCCCTCCCCATAGTGGGGGCAGGGCTTCAGCAGAGAGGACAGGGCTCTGTCTGCCTTCCCAGCCCTGGCTGCACCAAACTCCCATGCCAGTAGCAGACCAGCTTCCATTCTCTGGAAGAGTAAGGATGAAGCAATCTATTCCAGCACCTTACCAGATGCAAGTAATTTTCTCCTTTGCACCAGCTGTGTCCATTGCCCACCTCTAACTACCTGCCCACCTCTAGCTATCTGCTCACCCTGATACTCTGGCTGCTGCTATTGGTAACCCATGAAGGGAATTAATGGGTCAGCTTACACTCCTTGTTTGAAGTGTGGGTATGCAGGACAATAGACAATCTTGCCTTTAGAAATGGATCACTTTAAATCTGCTGATGCTTTACTTTGCATGGCTTGTCGTTAAAAAAAACAAAAAACTTTTCAAAAGAGTTTTTTTAAATGATGGGCTAGAACCTCAGCAGCTCTAAATCACCATAGGTCCATTGACTTCATTGGAGCTATGCTAACCTACAGCCACTGAGGATCTGACCCTAAATTAGAAATATTGATGAGGAATTTCAAACTTCCTTAGGACCCTTTGGAAGTCCCAGCCTCCAATCTTAATGGAATGTAGATTGACATGGGTAGTGAATAAAGTTCCGGTCTGTTCATTTTATCTAGAACAGAAATTAAATTTCAGAAAATCCAAACGTATTTGACCCTTTATTTCAAAGTGTTCAGACCTATAACAATGAGCCCAGTGGCATCAGACATTCCACTTCTAGAGCTTGAAGAACATGTGTATTCTATTTCTCTCTTTGTGTATGGTTGAGATGATTAGATCTGAATGACGTAACTAATTCTTGTTTGACCTACATAATTGACATGAAAATTGAAAGAGAGGACGCGTGCCTCCCTCCCTGCCTGGTGCTCCGGAGGTTGGGGAAGTTCAGGCCAGCTCAGGCCAAGCAGCCTCTTCCCTCCCTGGTGCACAGGGTGCTTCGAGGAGGCTGGGGTGTGCGTACTCTTCCCTTTCCCGTGGTGGGAGGGAAGGTGCCCCTGCACTCGGCATGCTGCCCCGCCTCCTCCCCTCCCCATAGTGGGGGCAGGGCTTCAGCAGAGAGGACAGGGCTCTGTCTGCCTTCCCAGCCCTGGCTGCACCAAACTCCCATGCCAGTAGCAGACCAGCTTCCATTCTCTGGAAGAGTAAGGATGAAGCAATCTATTCCAGCACCTTACCAGATGCAAGTAATTTTCTCCTTTGCACCAGCTGTGTCCATTGCCCACCTCTAACTACCTGCCCACCTCTAGCTATCTGCTCACCCTGATACTCTGGCTGCTGCTATTGGTAACCCATGAAGGGAATTAATGGGTCAGCTTACACTCCTTGTTTGAAGTGTGGGTATGCAGGACAATAGACAATCTTGCCTTTAGAAATGGATCACTTTAAATCTGCTGATGCTTTACTTTGCATGGCTTGTCGTTAAAAAAAACAAAAAACTTTTCAAAAGAGTTTTTTTAAATGATGGGCTAGAACCTCAGCAGCTCTAAATCACCATAGGTCCATTGACTTCATTGGAGCTATGCTAACCTACAGCCACTGAGGATCTGACCCTAAATTAGAAATATTGATGAGGAATTTCAAACTTCCTTAGGACCCTTTGGAAGTCCCAGCCTCCAATCTTAATGGAATGTAGATTGACATGGGTAGTGAATAAAGTTCCGGTCTGTTCATTTTATCTAGAACAGAAATTAAATTTCAGAAAATCCAAACGTATTTGACCCTTTATTTCAAAGTGTTCAGACCTATAACAATGAGCCCAGTGGCATCAGACATTCCACTTCTAGAGCTTGAAGAACATGTGTATTCTATTTCTCTCTTTGTGTATGGTTGAGATGATTAGATCTGAATGACGTAACTAATTCTTGTTTGACCTACATAATTGACATGAAAATTGAAAGAGAAATGAAAATAAGTTAAATAATGACTTGTGTGTGCGCGCCAAGTGTGTGGTGCCTCTTGGAAGGAACATTTGATTTGGATAATCTGCTTGTTTTGATTTACTGCCTTTCACATGTGCGTCACATATCTGAAAGCTTAAAACATCAGAGTTTTATTATTTTCTACAAAAATTTCTGAACAAAGTAACACACTTCGGATTAGAAAAAAGTTTGAGTTAATAGACTGATATTGCAATATAAGCTTTCAGCATGTCATGGTAGACACACTCCTCCAAATGGTTTGTTTATGCAGGTGTGTCTGTAGGACACAATGTTTTGAAAATGTACCCATTTTCAGTGTCCAGGGCATCTACAGATATTATGCTGGTTAAGCAATGATTTACCATCGAGCCTGTTTGACTCCTATTTTCCATAGGTGTTAGAAACAGAAAACACATGTTAAGTCATTGGCTCCATTATCCTGCCAAAGAAAAAGCTGGCTCTCCTCCTTGACTCAAGCTGATAAATCACATTAAAAGGTGTTAATGTTATATTTTCCCAGAGTTACTTTTCCATGTAAGCAATTGCTCTAGTTAGCCAGATGGAACTTATTCACTAGATGGAAGAGAATTGGGTTGCCCAATTGCAGATGGGAGTTGTCCATTAGACACTCTTTATTAGAGCCACACTATAAACAAGTTTGAAAGCCTCTAAAGGATCATTTCTATTGCCCCCCCCCCCCCCCCC